ATATTAAGGGTAGACTCAAACGTTTTCACTGAGCTCAGTAAATATAAATCCTACCAAAAGGACTTTTTTCACTTTAGCTTCAAATGATTTGAAGTTAGCTGAAGAAAAATCTACGGGTCGAGCATAGCCATGGCGGCTGAGCAAGAACTCGACATCTCAAACCGTTCGTGGCTTCATATGATATCTGCTTTCCGCGCCTTGGAACCGCCCGATGCCGTGATTTCCATTGCCAGGTCAAATTTGAAAATTTTCCCCTTTTTCTTTTTTCAGCCTTTTTTAAGATAATTGTCTTTTACTTTGTTTGTACTTCGATTTGAGACAGATTTTTGAATTACAAGCTTTGTCTAATTTTAGGGAGTTAGGCGGAGGTTCAGTCACGGAGAGTGTTCAGAGCTGCATATGGCGCCACTGTATAAGCAAAGCTGTAAGCTTTCACCTTTCTCTTAGTGAGAAAAAACAAGAAGCAAGTTAAAGAAAGTTTATCTTTTTTCAGGACTTGAAGTGGCAGGGCCCTTATTTGAAAAGATTCCTCAAGAAACTAATATTCGAAATCGAATCGGATGGTGGCCTAGTTTTGGATGAATTGTATGAACAATATGCTTCATATATGATTTCTTTGCAGGTTATGCATTAATTGCTCTTACCATTTGTATTTTTTTTGGAGGGTAAATCATATTTTTCTGAATTAGTTTTCTTGTATGCCGGTTAGGATAATGAGGCCAATCAAGGGAACTCGAGAGTATTGAAAACAATCTCATTTCTTTTCCCTAATGGTAGTCTTCTTGTTGATTTTCCACGTTTTACTCATGCCTTTTGTAATTAATTCTTGTTACGAATGCTTGTCATTTTGATTGATTTATAGGAGATTCGTCTGGATTTGAAAGTTGCCCAGAGAACTTAGAAGTTCCACTGAGGTGTTCTGTGAACATGCTGGAAGGTGATACTGGGTAAACTATTTTTTGCTTTCTTGTTTTATATTTCAAGTATATGAATTTGAGCTAGCTATTTCTTATAAAAGTACTTAATTCAAAAATGTAAAGAGAGAATTTAAGCAAGTAACTATGTGAGAACTGAGATTGCTCGGCATTTTCTTCGGTATCGTTATTTCATTTTCATTGTGCTTTAGTGGTGGCCTCAATGCCTTGCAAAAGAGGTCATTACTTTCTGAGATTGCTCGGCATTTTCTTCCGTATCGTTATTTCATTTTCATTGTGCTTTAGTGGTGGCCTCAATGCCTTGCAAAAGAGGTCATTATTTTCTGTTATCGAAAAATATGAGTATCTTATGTTGTAACATAATTGAGAGGTTAACAACTTGCCGGTACTATAGAACGAGGCAATTATAGGACAGGTGATAAAACAAAGATTAAAAGGATCCCATGATATAATGCCTGACAATAGCAAAAATTTGAATGAAAGAAGAGGTCTTTACAAATTTTTTTTTTTATTTTATCTTGAGTTTCAAAGTGAATTCAATGCAATATTACATATCTTGTGTCTTAAGTTATTGAAGCTCTGCTTGTGCAGCACTGATTTGATGCGACCAATTGCTGAATTTGTATTTATAGGTGCTCTATTTGGCCATCAAGTCTTTTCCTGTCAGAATTTATACTTTCTTTCCCAGAACTATTCGCAAATAAGTGTTGCTTTGAGGTGAGATGTACGTACTCGAAATCTGATGCTATTTATTCTGCACTGGTTCCAATTGTAAAAATATTTCATTCTTCCAATTTACAATTTTTTGGTTGATATATGACATTTGCCTTTTATTGTTCCAAATGTGTAGTATTTGTCTTAATAATTGTCAATTGTTTTTTCTGCTAAATCATTTCATTGCTGAAAAGTTATATTTCATTTTGTAACAGTTTGGCTCCGGGGTGGGATTGGTTGGTGTCTGTCTCTCTTATGTGAAAGCATCTAAGGTTAGCTTTTGCATGATTACTAAGTGTTTGATGCTTATTATATATAGATAATCCAATTAACAAATTGGTTCGATATTTTTCGATGGTAGTGACAAAATTTTCTTTTATATATTTGATAACTATACTCTGGCTTTGTAATTCATTAGTCATAGGCCCATTTAAACCTTGTAATTGTTTGCATTCGTGTTCATGCAAATGTTGGTTTGCCAAGAAATTATTTATCGGTTTTTAAGTGCAGGTAATACTAAGTGATGGCGACTTGTCAACTTTAGCCAATATGAAGGTTAACTTGGAACTCAATCACTTGAGCCCAACAAATCATCCATTAGGCAACCATTTACATCATCATATGGTTAGTTTTTGCGAACTTTATTATTGTGAAGATGTAAACATAGTTTCGAATTTTGGTTGTGTTTGGTAAGCATAAGCATATAAGCTTATTTGATTAGCTTATAAGTTTTCTGTATTCAAATAAGTTTGGTTTGGTAGGACGGACTTTTTAAAAAGCTCGAGCTTATCTCATAAGCTTGGGTAGCTTTTCAAATAAGCCCATTGAAATTTTTATTTCAGTTAGCTTATCAGCTAATTTTACTAAACACTTTTATCATATAAGCTAGCTTTTCAACCACAAGTCACAAGCTATCAGTTATAAAAGCTTGAAATTCACTTAAAAGCTATAAGCTAGCTTATCAGCTAGGTTTACAAAACATAGCCTTTTCTTGGTTTGAAAATGTCATAGGTGAACACTGTTTTTTTGCCATGGGAATCTGCATCAGAAGATGATCTCGATTATTTTGCTCCTGACGTAATGTGAGTCTTCTACTTGCAACTTTACTATCTAATCCAAATACATATTGTTGTATTTCGTTTTACTTTCGTAAACTTTTTACTTTCTTTTTTCCTACAGTTTAGGAGCAGACATCATTTACGACCCTTCATATCTTCCTCATCTCGTTCGGGTGCTGGCTGTCCTTTTGAAAAACAATCATTCAAATTCTGAAACTAACAATGGTAGAGAATTTTACTCTCCCCAAGAAGGAAAAACGACACAACGTGTTTTGCCAAATGGTGGACTTGGCCGTGTCGCGTATTTTGCCTCGGTGATTCGTAATATCGACACCTTCAATTGTTTTGTTGAGCTGGCCGAAGGGGCGAATCTTGTGGTCACGGACCTCACCGAAAATGTTCGGGTGTCGAGTTTTCTTCCGTACTTGAGATCGTATGCTCGGTCTACTATAAGGCTATTCCGAATTCATAGGTAAAACTTGTGTGTTGTATCATTGATGTTCATGGTAGACTGTAATTCCTATACATCTTCAACAAAATAACAGATAGAAAAATGGATATCCAGAAATGAGTTGGATTGGATTAATTTTTTTTTTATTTAATTGTTGGTTATATGATGTTTTTCAATCCGTGTTCTAAAAATCGAGTGGTGCCTAGATGCTAGATGGTACCCGAGCGCTAGGGCTGCAAATGAGCCGCTCGCGAGTGCTCAGGTCAAAGCTTGACTCGAGCTCGAGTTGCTCGAAATATGCAGTAAAATACTTAAATACCTTTATATATATGTAATTCACAAAATTGTCATAGGTGCATAGTTTATACTCTCTCCTCTTGATGTTTTTAAATGTCATTTTGGTTTTATCAATCATTAACCAAATAAATGACGTTTTGGATATTTTGTACATATTTTTTTATTATTACTCTCATTTAGCTAGTAAATACACTGTCTTTTCAAATCCACTCTTAATTTTATGTTATTAATTTTCATTAAAGAGGGTTATTCTTGGCAAAAAAAAAATTAATTATTGTGCAACTTCTCAAAACGACACATATTATGACCAGGAGGAAGTAGTTGTTAAAATTCGAGCCGAATTAGAGTCGGTCCCGAGCATCGAACCAATCATGACCATCGAGTCGATCTGGAGCATTTTCATTTGTTTCACGAGTCAAGCTTGAGCGTGATTTTCATGGCTCGTTGAGCTCGAGCTTGACAAGGTTCATTCTCGACTCGGCTCGATTAGTTTGCAGCCTTACCGAGCATCATAATTTTTTGCTAGGTGTCCCTTGTAGGCGCTCTACTGCTGACGGCTGCCAAGTTAGTCACGCCTAGGCGCCCATTCTTTTTCTTTGGCATTATTTATTTTATTTTTTCAATTTATGAAGAAATAGGTTCTTTTGTTATGCATAAACAAATATACATCTTTAGAAAAAATATTAATTGTATTGAAGTTAATACAATAGAACAAATGTTATATTTAGATAATCTTTGTATTTGATCATATTAATTAATATATTTTTATAGGGGGCAGATCAAATGCAACCAGCTCTTAAAATGCATCCAGCTCTTAAAATGCGCACAGCTCTTAGCAACTGCAGACAACTAACCTAGCAACTACAGAGAACTAACATAGCAACTACAGAGAACTAACTTAGCAACTACAGAGAACTAACTTAGCAACTACAAAGAACTAACCTAGCAACTACAGAGAACTAACCTAGCAACTAGTAACCTAGAAACTACAAAGAACTAACCTAGCAACTACAAAGAACTAACTTAGCAACTACAGAGAACTAACCTAGCAACTACAGATAACTAACCTAGCAACTACAGATAACTAACCTAGCAACTGGAGAGAACTAAACTAGCAATTACATGAACTAACCTATCAACTACAAACAACTAACCTAGCAACTATAGAGAACTAGCCTAGCAACTACATAAAACTAACCTAGTTGGAACGTTAGTTGGCAATGGTCAACGTCGGAAGTCAACGAATTTTGCCAGAAGTCAACAGTCAACGCTGGAGTCAACGGGTCAAAATTTAAATAATTAAAATAATAAAAAGAAAAGAGTAAATCTTGGCCTCACATGATGTACCAAATCTTGTGGCTAAAAATGAGTCTCACGTCCTCACTTTAAATAAGTGGATGCAATGGAACCAATCCCTATTTTTATATACTATTGTGAATTCATGTATTATCTATAAGATAGTCCTATATTGACAAACTTTGATTTGACATCTATACCTTGTATATAAGTGAATATGTATATTTATCTTTAAAACATAAATTAAACTATTTATTCATATAGTTGAAAAAAAAAACTATTTATCATTTAAATAAACTCATTTATCGAATACATTTTATATTGTAAAAAAAAATAGGGTTAATTGCCAAATAAACCTCGACCTTTTCACTTTTGGCAATTTAATCCAAACTTCTACATAATTGCAATATAATCTATACCTTTTATAACTTTTGCAAAATCGACTTAAAACCCGTCGGACAGCCAAAACATGCCAGCGTGTCCGGCGAGATGTATCTACGTGTAATTTTCAGTTTGCTCGGTAAGATTAATTAAAATACGTGGAATTTCACATAAATCAGTATAAAAGTCGATTCCCTTCCCCAATTTCACAAATTCCCCAACCCTAAATTCTCCCTAACTTACTTCGAAGAAAAATTCAATGTCGACGACAAAAATCAAACCCTACAACTGAAATCTTCTCTCTGTATCAAGAATTCGCAACGAAGTGGTCCCAATTGCATGAGAGTTTGTGTTTCTGTGTTCGAGATTCCTTTTGAGGGTGCGTTCGACATTCCTTATATGTCTGGAAAATGAAAGACAGGTGCTCCGAATTTCTCCTATTCTTTATTTCTTATTGTCTGCGTTTTGTACTCGAGGTAGTGCGTCAAATTTGGAATTTTTTAATTTCTTGTCTACTCTTTGTCATGTGGTTTCTGTATTTTTTATTTCAAGTATGTGGTCCTTGTACTGATTTCGAGAATGTGGTCTTATATTTAGGGTTTGTTTAGAAATTAGATTTATTCTTGGAATTTTAGGTGTTTTTTTTGTGAAATTAGGGTTCGTTTTGGGGAAATTAGGGCTTTTCTGAACAATTAGGGTTTTTTGGGGGAAACTAGAGTTTTTCTAAACAATTAGGTTTTTTTGTGGAAATTAGGGCTTTTCTGAACAATTAGGGATTTTGGAGAAATTAGGGCTTCTCTTAACCATCACAGTTTTTTGGGAAAATTGAAGATTTCTCTGAACAATTAGGGTTTTTTTTATTGGGAAATTGCACTTATTATTCTCTGAACAATCAGGGTCTTATGCATTGCACTTATTATTATTATCCTATTTATGGATATGTTTGCTTTGCAGTGGCAAATTTTCATTATTTGTTAACTATGGAGGCCGCTTCCTCAATTGTGGAACTTCTGTTGAGTACTTAGGCGGTTCTTTCAAGACAGTTCATGGTTTAGATGTGGATAGGTTTGGGTATTTTGACTTAAAAGAAGAAGTTGAGAAGTTGGGGGTTGATAAGTTTGGAAAACTTGTATACAGAATACCAGGGAAGATTGGAGCAGACAGCTTTAAAGATGTTGTTGATGATAGTACAGTTATGGAGATTATTGGTCATGCTACTAAGAGAAGAACATTAATAGAGGTTTATGTGGTTGAAGAAATTATAGAGGAAGGTAACAATGAAGAAGAAGCTGTTGTGGAAAGTGCATCTAGGTCAGATGAACAATTTGATGTTGATTCATATATAGATAATTTCTCTAATCCAAAGAATCCTGATGATGTGGGTTTAGGAGCTGAGTCACAGAAAGATGGTGGTGTTCATACAGAAGTGAGGAATAACCTAAATACTCCACAGTTTCCTATTTCCAACCTAGGTGACAGTGAAGTTGGAAGTGGGTCTGGGGATGATAGTGAGGATGAAGAATATTTTCCTGTTGATGAAAGCTCATCTGATGATGAACTTTCTGTTGATGATCTTGCTTCTGATGATGATGGTGAATATCTTGAGGCAAGACAGAACTTGAAGAAGCAGAAAAAGGGGACATTAAAAGATGATGGAGAATGTGCAGACAACATGAAGTCAAAGAAGGCCATTGAGATGGACAGTGAAGATTCTGGGTTTGTAGATTGTGCATTGGTATCTGAATATTCAGGTAGTGATTGGGAAGTGGATGAGGATGGGAACTGTATAGGTAGAAGGAAAATAGTTACTTATGACCCTAAATGTGATCATAGTACTCTTGAGTTTATGTTGGGTATGAGATTCATTAGCATAGAAGAGTTGAAAAAAGCAGTTAGGAATGTAGCAATTTTTCAAGGGAGAGACATTCAGTTTCTAAAAACTAGCAAAAAGCAGTTGAGAGTGAAATGTGTTGATGGTTGCCCTTGGACCTTGTATGCAAGTGCAGTTATGAAAGAGGGCAGTGTAGCAATTAAACAGTTCAACAAGGAGCACAAATGCCATAGAAATGTCCACACTAGGCAAGTTACATCATAGTGGATTGCTGAGGAGTTTCTTGAAAAATTCAGGAAGAATCCAAACATGTCCATTACCCAAATGGAAGAGATAATATCTGAGAAGTATGCAGTACAACCTACAAAGTGGAAGCTTTATAGAGGAAAGTGGAGGGCTCTTGAGATGCTTAGAGGTTCAATAGTTGGCCATTATGCTTCTCTGAGAAGTTACATGGCAGAGTTGTTGAGGGTAGACAGAGATGGAAGGTTTGAGTTTCTTCTTGGTGAAGAAACAACATTCAGAGGTTTCTATGTGGGATTTAGTGCACTGAGAAAAGGTTTCCTCAGTGGCTGTAGGCCCATTTTAGGATTTGATGGGTGTTTCTTGAAGACTTTTATAGGTGGGGCTTTATTGTGTGCCACAGCCAAAGATGGCAACAATCAAATATACCCTGTGGCTTGGGCAGTTGTTGAGACAGAAAATGAGGAATGTTGGAGGTGGTTTCTAAGTATTTTGTTTACTGATCTGGGAATTAATGATGGCCTTGGATATACTTTCATGTCAGACCAACAAAAAGTAAGTTATGTCTCTAATTAATTTAAATTTTGTGAATTACTGAATTTTTCCACTTTAATCATATCTGAAATTGTATATTTTCAAATTTTTTTCCTTTTGCAGGGTCTTCTGAATGCATTGAGAGATTTGGCCCCACATGCTGAGCACAGAAACTGTGCAAGACATGTATATATGAACTGGAAGAAGAGTTTCAAAGGGCTTACACTGAAAACCATTTTCTGGAAGATTGTGCTTAGCACTCACTTGGGGGACTACAACATATATTTGGAAGATTTGAAGTCTGAAGATCCAGATGCTTATGAAGATTTCATGGACAGAGATCCTACCAAATTCTGTAAGGCTTACATTTCTCCATTGTCTAGATGTGATATGATTGAGAATAATGTGAGTGAAACATTCAATGGAATGATTGTTAAGGGTAGAAGTAAGCACATTATTGATATGCTTGAGTTTGTTAGAAGTGAGCTAATGAAAAGACAACATGACAAGATGTTAGGACTTAGTGGGCATACAGATCAAATTTGTCCTAGAATAAGAAAGAAGTTAGAGCACAACAAATACATGTCCAGGCACTGTTTGACAAAGCCAGCTGTTGGTGAAAGATTTGAGGTTGTGCATGAGGATGATCAGTTTGTTGTGAACTTGAAGAACAAGACATGTACTTGCAGATATTGGGATATTACAGGCATTCCATGTGTACATGCATGTTCTGCAATACATTTCCAACATCAGGATCCTTTAGAGTTTGTGTCTGAGTATTACTCAGTTGAGAGGTATTTGCAGTTGTACAGTTTGTCTTTAGAACCTATAAATGGGAAGAAATTGTGGCCAGTTGCACAGGGTTATCCTATTCTTCCTCCTCCTGTCAAAAAGATGCCAGGAAGGCCAAGGAAGAAAAGAAAGAGAGCACCTGAGGAAGAAATGAATTGTGGGACTAAGTTGAGGAGATTTGGGTTGACTATGACTTGTCAAAGATGTTTTCAAAAAGGGCACAATAAGAAATCATGTTCTAATCCTCCAGTGGAAAAACAACCAAAGGTTACAATTTTCTATTTCAAGTCTTATTTAATTGTGTTGTGATAATCATCAAGTTGAAATTAATGTCTATTTATTTTGTTAGAATCCAAGGGGGAGGCCCAAGAAGATTGTTGGAGCACCAGTTGAAAACACAAGTTCATTGTCAAAAAAGAAGTCAAGGCAACAGTCAAGGCAACAGTCAAGGCCACAGTCAAGGCCACAGTCAAGCCAACAGTCATCTTTAACTCAAAAGGAAAGAGCTATGGTAATAGCATTTTATTTTATTAAATTTAATTGATATTTTATTGCATATATAATGCTGTTTGTGTGATGATTTGTTATTATATTTGTTTTTAGGCAAGAAAGGGATTTGGTATCCTTCAGTCTGAGGAGACTGGTAATACCTACATGAGGGTATATTTATTACCTTAATAGCTTTCTTTCTTATCTTTCTCATTTTTGCAATCTCATGGCTGGTTTTATACTTGTATACTTATTTTTCTTTATTATTTAAAATGTCACAAATGCAGTTGGCATCAGAAAGAAGAGTACATGTCATTTCTGACAGAGGTGCTGGTTCTAGTAAGACTGGAGGAAAGGGGAAAATGCAAAAGAGGAGGAAGACTAAGGATGCTTTAGGCACTCAAGAGAGTGTTGCTCGCAAGGATGATTAACTTTGATTTATTTTGGAGTGTTGTTGATTTTTGGAGTACTTTTGAACCATGGATGTTTGACTTAGATTTAGTTTTGGAGTATGGTTGATTGTGGATGAACTTTTGTTGTCTGTTTTAGGCACTCAAAATGGTTTACCAATGATGGATAACTTTTGTGAATGTAATGAAGTTGAATTATGTTGGGTTATGATTTGAACAAAGAATGGTTGTTGAAAGAACTGAGTAATGATTTTGGAGTGTTGTTCATTTCAGATTTCTTCTTTAGATGCAATGTTTTTGTTCTGTCAAGTATGTGATGTTGTTTTGGAAGTAAGCAGGTTTGGGTATTTTGTAGTGTTGTTGTAATGTTTAGAGGGTTGGATGATTGTAATGTTGATCTCAGTGTCCTATAAATGTTGTGTTGGTTTGTTATGTTAAGTATGTGATCTCAGTTAGCTTAACAAAATTCTATGTAATAAATTGCAAAACATAACAAAAAAGGACAATAACAATGAAATAAACCACAACAATAGATTACATTATCTCTTAAGTTCAATACATCCACAAAATGAGATAAAAACACAAAATGAGATAAAAACTGAACAATATTCAAACCAACATTTTAGGCCTCTGCTCATGACCAGATTTCCCAACCATAATAAGGAAAAAAATCATCATAACCACAATCAAGCAAAACATTACAACATTCATCTTCCTTTCCAGTTTTTGCATGAGACATAATGTATCTTTCATAACCAGCACGACTTCACTGTTCTTCCGAATTTCAATCTCAAGATCATTCAGTTTTTGTTCAAAATCAATCTCACGGTCCGCAATTTCATCTCTTTCCAATGCCTTTCCGGTGTACATTTTCTCCACTGCAACCTTACCCCTCAACTGCTCTTCCAAATACTCTTTCTTAGATTTCAATTGCAAAAACCAATATTTTTGGAACTCAGAAAGTTCGGGATCAATCCATTCGAAAAAACCGCAGTCCGTCCCTTCCTAAACAAAGTAAACCGAAAAATTAGGGTTTATACAAATTGGGGTTTTAATTAGGTTTATGAAATTTGGGGATTTTGAAGAAAACAATCGAAAACGCCGCGGTCATTCCCTTCCTAAGCAAAGTAAACCAAAAAATTAGGGTTTATACAAATTGGGGTTTTAATTAGGTTTATGAAATTTGGGAATTTTGAAGAAATTAATGTTCTCACAAAATATACGTAGCTCACCTTCGACGTAGCACATCTATAGAACCTTCTACATGGGTTATCGTCCGTCTTGGAGCTATACACATTGACTACCTTGCGATTGGGACAGCGACAGATCTTCGAAGGAACGCTGAAGCTTCCAAAACTGTGGCTTGTGCGAGATGAAGACGACATTTTCCACTAGCAGGATCGTGGCTTGGTTGCTCGAGTTATCGTCTGCCAAAAGAGAAGAGAAAAAAAGAAAGAACTTTCGAAAGGAAAATGTCAGGATAATTAGGGTTGGGAAATTTGTGAAATTGGGGAAGAGAATGGACTTTTATACTCGTTTATGTGAAATTCCACGTATTTTATCAAAGTATTACTGAGCAAACTGAAAATTACACGTAGATGCATCTCGCCGGACACGCTGGCATGTTTTGGCTGTCCGACGAGTTTTAAGTCGATTTTGCAAAAGTTATAAAAGGTATAGATTATATTGCAATTATGTAGAAGATTGGATTAAATTGCCAAAAGTGAAAAGGTCGAGGTTTATTTGGCAATTAACCCAAAAAAATATAATATAAAAAAAAGTAGGCGTAGAAGTAAATAGAAATTAGTGTCATTTTAAAAGGCCAAATTTGCGATGACGCTTACAAATTTATGATCCTTTCCCCTTTACGTTTTTGGAACAGCCCAAATAATAAATAAATAAATAAATACATAAACAGACGAAAAAGATTAGAACGACAATCACAATTCACAACACGGCGACCCAGCTCAGAACAAACGTGTCAAGCTAGGGGTCACCTGGTACAGGTAGAGAATCCAATTATATTCTCGCGATCGGATCTTCGATAGTTGATCGGAGAAAAGCAAGATGAGCGAAGAAGGTGGAGGAAAGGCGAGAGGCCCACCGGCGGCCGACGGCGACGATTTTCCACACCCGTCCCCGCCCAATTACTATTACGGCACTTTCCAAGGCGTGGCGAATTACCAGCCTCGGCCTCCGCCGCCGTCTCACCCGGTGATGGGTTTTCCTCAGCCGGCGCCTCCTCCTGGGTTTTCCGGCTCCATACCGCATTATTATCATCAGGGATATCAATCGGTTCCAGGTAATCCAATTTCTCTTCCGTTTACTGTTTTATTGAGAATAATTTTAGATTTACCTTTTTGTTGCTGTGAAAAATTTGTCTGATTATAATGAGAAATTTGGTAGCCCCAATTATTTTTCAGAATAAATTCGTGATTCTAATAATTTTTGGATATAAATTGTATGTTTTTTTAGCTTAATGATTCCATAAGGAAAGCTGTATTAATTTCAATTAATTGTGTTATTTGGTGGTCGGAATCAAATGAATTTGATATTATATTGAGTTTCTTATATGAAATATGGATGTTTAGCTTGTCACTCTATTGGTTGCATACTGTCTTATGATGCAATTAGTCCATGATACAACTTGGGGGCTGATATTTTACGTGGTCGATTAGAGAAATTGTCGTGGAGACTCGAAAGAGGTGGTTTTGGATTGAGCATGTTATGAGAGATGCTAACATTTAATCACTTTTCTTTTCATAGTTGGGATGAGTTTTTGGCTCAATGTAATTATGATAGAAAATGTAAGTTTGAGTATGTTCCTGAAGGTATGGTGAATGGGATTGAAGGGTGTAATCATAATTCCTTAGACCCATAGTGAAAAAAATAAAATAAAATAAACCAACATTTTTGCTAATTGTAATTAGTACTGCCGTGAACTCGTTTTCTCATTATTCTCCATTATATGTTGATTCTATAGGTTATGTTGTTCATGAAGGAAGGCCTTTTAGAGAGGAGCGGCTCCCTTGTTGTGGCGTGGGGATTGGATGGTTATTGTAAGTTACTTTTTTCTTGTTAGGTTCTTCATAGTCATTTGCCTATGACTCTATGTGTTCTCTGAATGCCATTGGATGCCATGCAAAAACATTAATCAAATAGCTAACGATTTTCCAATTGTCCTGATGCCTATGCTTCCCCTATTTATTTTATTTTGGCGTAATTCTTTCTGTTCCTTCATGGAAGCGATAAAAGGAAGTAACTATTAGAATGAATAAGAAAAAAGGAAAAGGAAAAAGGTTGAATATTCTAACTAAATTCTTGCCGGGAAGCTGAAGTTTGCATTTTTTTATGTTGCTTTCTTCATTCTTTTAGTACTATGTCTTGGATATATGTCAGTTTGTTTTCATATTCTGCTTGAGTTATGAATAGAATATTGGGATTTGTTAATTCTTTTTGCGAAATGTGATTTGGTTGTGATTTTACATTGATTTTTTTTGCAAGGTTTATCACTGGTTTTTTTCTGGGCGCAATTCCCTGGTACATTGGTGCTTTTCTGCTTTTATGTGTTCGTTTGGACTATCGAGAGAAGCCTGGCCTCATTGCATGTACTATAGCGGTACGTAATCTATTTTCAGACTTTTGAAATTTCTTATTGAAACAATTTTCAAAAACTGCAACTAATTGTAGCATCTCCCCTTTTCACTATACACTTTCATTTATTTTTATTGATATCAACGGAATATTTGCAGCTAGTTGGTTGTTATTATATTAACGTACGGTATTGTATTGGTTGAATTATACGTGGTGAGCGGATTTCACCAGATTGATTGGTCCACTGAAATATCTCGTCAAATTAGTTGGTTGGTTTGTATGGACCAAATTTCACTTTTGGTCTAGTTTCGAATCTGATTTTCACGCATTCCATCTACAGCTTTAAACGAAATATTTTGCTAAGGATATCAAAATCTTCATAACCTTGCATGAAAACTTGCAGGCTCTGCTAGCTGCACTTGCCGTTACTCTTGGCGTGACAAAGGCAACACATGCGTGGTGAAATTTGATGTTCTTGTTGTTGTACATTCTCCAGCTATAAATTCAGATATTTATTATTATTGATTGTAATTACTTTGTTGAAGCAATGGTTGAATTTCTCTGATTTTGCATCTAAAATGTCCGTTGTGTAGACAGTAGTAGACAATAATTGAACGATCAGGATCAGGCTGCGTCAAACGAGAACTTGTACAACTTTACTGTTTGGCTGTGTAGAAAGATGGGATGAATAATTGAACTTAAAAATTGCTATAAAGTAACTCAGTTGGCCACTTAGAAGTTGCCATGATTTGACTCATGAAAGCTAACAAATCTAAAACAAGATTCTACAAAAATGTTAATTTTAACTGTGTTTTTATTCTTAATAGTCCTTTGCTAATTGCTTTTATTCTTGCTGTGTTTTTGGACGTTGGTTTTGCAGAGTAAGAATGTACTGCTTTTAAGTGGACGTGAATATCACAAAATGACTAAGAAAATTCAAATGAAAAACCAATTCGTTGTCCAACTAATCTTGAGTTATTTAAACAAAATAGTGTCTACTATTTAACTTATTTTTTGGCTCACAATTAATTTTTCATTCATCGTTTAGAATGATTCTAAATTTGACAATGAAAACCGTTTTTTTTTTTTTCCTTTTCACATATTTTAAAATCCTAATTTTGACTTGTTAACTTACCACCATTATTTTCAAAAGCGTTTGTAGAGCGCTACGTAGAGTAAAATAGAGCAAAAATACTCAAAATCGTAATATAGCGTTTAGAATTTTGCGTTTTGCCCGAAATACCCACTCTAAATGTTGACTTTGGCATGCTATTTTCACACTACATTATCAAAGGAAAAAAAATTATAAAAACTCAAACTCATCTTTTTTCTATCGTGTTCTAGGGTCACGTTTGTGAAAAGAAATATTGATATTGATTTAAAAATAAATGATTTAAATTAGACTAATGACATATATTGTTATATTTTCATAACTTAAATTAAATCATCTTATGAATTTTTGTTGTTTAGCGACTTATACAATACAATTTGGTCAAATCTAGTTCGACGAGCCCATTCTAAGGTCTCCCGAGAAGCAGAAGGCCCAAATACCAAAAACCCACTTGAACATAGGCCCATTATCGAAGTTAGGGTTGTGTTATTTCCCACCCAAAAACACAGCTCACGAATTCCTGCACATCAGCTCATCTTCGTATTACACTACCCGCCCGTGAGAGAGAATTTGGCACTGTTGAAAATGGTGGTTTACAGGGTACGTTTTAATTTGTGTGTTGATCTTTACTCTTATTTGTATTTATCATTTTACTTCTGGATTGTGATGCATTGTGGTTCGTACCTTGTGCAGTTTCATCAGTACCAGGTGGTGGGGAGAGCTCTGCCGACGGAGGCGGAGGAGCATCCGAAGATCTACCGGATGAAGCTCTGGGCCACCAATGAGGTGCGCGCGAAGTCTAAGTTCTGGTACGGTTCAATCACTCATCGCCTTCGTGTGTTTGTGTTTGCCTGCACGCTTCATGTCCTTTTGAGCTTGTTTTCGCTCTTTATGGAGATGTTTTTAAATTCAGTTTTCTGTAGGGTAGTAAAGACAACATAATTTATCATTTTCATTAGCTTTGTTTTGGTGCAGGATTTGTTCAAATTGTCATTTGCATCGGCAATGTTAAATTGATTGTTTGATGTGTAGGAATGTTTCTGGATGTTATGTTTTCACCGAAATTGAATTTGGAAATGGTACATTTACTTCAGCTTTTGAAGTGTGTTTTGGTGCAGGATTTGTTCAAATTGTCATTTGCATCGGCAATGTTAAATTGATTGTTTGATGTGTAGGAATGTTTCTGGATGTTATGTTTTCACCGAAATTGAATTTGGAAATGGTACATTTACTTCAGCTTTTGAAGTGTGTTTTGGTGCAGGATTTGTTCAAATTGTCATTTGCATCGGCNGAGTGAGTTCTTTTAATGTTGGACTTAATTTAATGATTCTCAATGTAGGTACTTTTTGAGGAAGCTTAAGAAGGTAAAAAAGAGCAACGGTCAGGTTCTTGCTATCAATGAGGTATTGTGATCTCTTGCAAATTCTATTATCACGTTCTTGAATGGCTGATCTATTGTATGTTTCTTTATGTTGGAGTTTTGTTGGAACCACATTTTATGCACATGTGTTTTTAGTCTTGTTGCTTTGTATTTTGTGATGCACTGCAGTTCGTACATGTACTGCCGCTTTCTTTTGTGCTTGCTATCAGCTTGTGAATGAAATTGGATTCAGTAATGTTCCTTGAAAGTGAATCTTTTCAAAAAAATAAAAATAAATTGCTTCAAGTATGGTTGTACTCGTCTCAAACAGTTTCTTGTTCTGTCAGTGTACTTTCCATTCGGCATTTTTTCATCAAAGCACCTACTAATCTGGATGTATAGTTGTTGTTTTTGCTGCAATTCTACCAAAAAAACCATTTTGATAGTCATCATCATGATGATTTCTGATATTACAACACTTGGAGTACTTTATAATTTCATAAAATTTTTAAATTTCCCATCATCTTCTGTTTTCAAATCCGCTTAATTTCAATGGGCTTATTTGAAAAGCTACCATGAGCTAAGCTCAAAAGCTCGTCCTACGAAACCAAGCTTTTAATGGAATACAAGAAGCTTATAAGCTAGCTTATATGCTTACCAAACACAACCTTAAAATGCTTTATAATTTCATACAATTTTTTTATTTTCCATCATTTCAAATCCGCTTAATTTCAAATGTACACCCATTTTTTGTTCCCACATTGATTAATGCTCACGTTTAGAATACTAGACTTTCTTCCTTTAACCCCCGGTTTTTGCACGATAGATTTTTGAGAAGAACCCCACCACCATCAAGAACTTTGGGATTTGGCTAAGGTACCAGAGCCGAACGGGCTACCACAACATGTACAAGGAGTATCGTGACACGACTTTGAACGGTGCTGTCGAGCAGATGTACACTGAGATGGCTTCCCGACACAGGGTCCGTTGCCACTGCATACAGATCATCAAGACAGCCACAATTCCGGCTAAGCTCTGCAAAAGGGAGAGCACCAAACAGTTTCATGACTCGAAAATCAAGTTCCCGTTAGTGTTCAAGAAGGTGAGACCACCCACAAGGAAACTCAAGACCACGTACAAGGCTTCTAAACCCAACTTGTTTATGTAAAAATCGAGTTGGTTGTGTTCTTTGAGGGTTGATAGTTTCTGCATTTTTGTATTTGCACGTTA